ACTACTGCGCTCTTCAGACCCTCAAAAATAGAAGGCAATTATGTTTGATGGTAAAGAACCTAGCGTGATAATCAGGAGAGGTAGATTTCTAACCACAGTCTACCACTAATAGGCTATCTGAACTTGGATGAGTCAAACAACCTCTCTTAGATTGAGCCTACCCTTCTTTTAATGAGAAAATTCAAGTATATTATGTCAAATTTTAGGAAATTATTAGCACTGCCAAATTTAGAATCAAATTCCAGGACCAAATACTGAATTGTTCTGGTAAGTAAGGATGCATTTCCTTATGTATTCTGGAATAATTATAATAAACAGTTTTCTCAATCTATATTCTTTATAATTTAAATATTTAAATTCAACCATTCTCATCAAAAAAGGTTATCAAAAACTTTGTGTAAATTATTATTTGTTCCATAAATCCTACATGTTGAATAAAAAGTCTTATATAAAATTTCTAAATATTTAACAGTAGTAAAAAAAGACAAATTCAGATATCCTCTAGAAACTGCTAATACATCTAGGTACATTTTCTACCAAAAGATGTATTAAAACTATTATAAAAGTATCAGTTTGATATCAAATGCAATTTGAGGGCAAGGAGATGAAAAATTGTCTATAGCTTTGAGAATTACATTGATTCTAAAATGTCTACATCTATCACCACTGACTTTTTATTATACACTCATTTATACACTTCACTATAAAAACTATTTAAAATCACTTCTTCATTCTTTGAAAATATGATGCTTATTAATGGGAAAAAATCAAGAGAACAAGAGAGAAGCAGTTCTCAAAGAAAATGATTTTTTCTTAGTTGAAATTACAAAAAAATGTTCTTTATTCTTCTGAGAGTGTTAAACCACAGTCAACGAGAAAATGGCTTATAATTAAATATATTTGCTTTCTACTGTCATCCTGGGGCAGTTCTGTTCCAAAGATGGCAACATATTTCTAAGCCAATATTGATGAGCTTTTGCTTAGAATAATTATAGAAAGACTTGAAAAAATAATGTCTATTATGTATGCAAAATTTTCATGTAATATGTATGTATATTGTAATAATAAGATGAGTATAAATAATTATAAAACATAATCAGCAAGGCAGATCATTAAATTCACAGCTAACTCAAGGATTTCCTGTAACAATAGCAATAGCCTAAAATCTGCACGATACGGTAAAGTAGCTACAAAAATTCAGCTACTGAGCACTGGAAATGCACCTAGTGCATGTGAGAAATTGATTCTTAATTATTTTTAAATTGCCGCAATGGCTACTGTCTACCATATTGAGCTGCACAATTTTGTCACAATATTGTGTTACTCACTTTTTCATGCTGTGGAAAAATATATGAGAATAACTACTTAAAGGATGAAAGATGTATTTTGGCTCACTGTTTCAGAGGTTTCATTCCATGGTCAGGTGACTCCATTACTTTGATCCAATAGTGAAGCATCATATCATGGTAGAAGGGTGTGGCAGAGGGAAGCTCTCATCTCCTGATACCAGGAAGGAGGGCAGGGACAGAGAAAGAAAGAGAGAGAGAGAGAGAGAAGGAGGGGTGTTATGGTTTGTGTCTGTGTGTCCCCTCAAAGCCTCATGCGGTCATGGGGCAGGCTTTTAGAGATTGAGTGATTATGGGTGTGAGAGCTACACGTGCCTTGGGGTGGATAGTTTGCATATGTAAGGGAGAGGAAGAGGCTGCTTGTGGCCATTCCTCCCTTTTAGTTTTTGTTGCTTTTGCTGTGTTCTGTTGCCATGAGCTGTAGCCTTCTGCCATGTGCCACTCTGCCTTGTAATCTGTCAAGTACAGACTGAAAGCTCCACAAACTGTAAGCGAAATAAACCTTTCCTTCCTTAATTTTGGGCATCAGGTATTTTGTCCCAGCAATGACAGAAAAGTAGCCAAGACAAGGGGGAAGAGAAAAAAAGAGGAAGAGGAAGAAGAAGAAGAAAAGGAAGAGGAAGGGGAAGGAAAAGAAGAAGAAGATAGGGACAGACAGATAGACAAACAGAGACAGAGACAGAGAGACAGACAACCTGGGACAAGAACCTGGGCCAACATTTGCCCCCTGTCTTCGTTACTTTTCTCTCATACTGAGACAAAATACCTGAAGCCCATAATTAAGGAAGGAAAGGTTTATTTAGCTCACAGTTTGTGGAAGTTTCAGTCCACACTCTGCTGGCTCCAAGGCAGGGTGGCATGGCACAGGGCAACTATTCAAGGTGGCAGAACACAGCAAAGAAACCAAGAGCAAAGGAAATGTCAAGCCTCTTTTCCTCCCTTATGTTACATATAGGCTACTGACTTTCACCATCACCATTCCTTCCTCTTGTACAGGCCCAGGATGTTTACAAGGTAAGGGCCCTGGCCCTCTATGGAGTCACTTAGTTTTCCTTCTAAACTTCTCAAGATGCCACAGTATATCAACCATTACAGCCCCCTTACCTACCTGACCTACTCCTTTGAACTAAGCCCTGTCTCCTAAGCTCCATGACTCCTCAAAAATGCCATGAAATAATTAGTCTATCAGTAGATTCACCCATTAATGAAGTTACAGCCCACATGATCCAATCATCTTCCAAAAGCCCAATGCCTGAACACATGTGCAGTGCTAAGGGAGAGACCATTTTAGGAAGGAGCTGAGATGCAGAGATAACATACCTAAACATACAGCAAAAATGCCATAAAAATAGCAAGCACATCACCTTATAATAACTTTGAGGTCCTTTCATTTCCTTTAAACCATAATTATTTACTACAGCTTTCTGTAAAGATAACAGTATATCTTGGGTCCATAATCTATGCAAAATCTATAAAATGTGCCCACTAACTCACAGTTGAGAGTGCTCTGAATTTTTTTTCTTATCACTTTATTGCCTTCTTTTGCTTGGCACTGTCAGGCTCCTTGGACAGAGGGCACCAACAGAAAATCCAGGAGACTGAACTGATGTGTTTTTACTAATGTGTGGTTGACCTAATAAACTAATAATTGAAGAAAATATCCAGATATATAGACTTCTTCCTTATTGTGACTTTATAGAAATATTTGACTTTATGAATAATATTGTATCAAAGCAGAAACAATGGAAAGTTATAAATTAATTGGTATATTTAGAACATATAAGATTAATAAAAATATCTGCTAAAAATATAGGTGTTAATTAAGATTATAACTCTACCTGTAGCCTAACAGTCAATAGACCACAGGGAGAAACTAAGACTCTAAATTTTAATTGTTTGGCAGGCAGTTGAGATAGAGCTGAGGTACAGAAATACCTTCATTTCAGAGTTGATAGTACAGTCTCTAGGTATCTTGAGTTTGGATCTTGCTTCAAAGAGCTATCTCACCTGGGGCAAGTCAAATAATTACATTAGCCAAACCTGTGTTTACTTGACTGTAAAATATACATAGACTACATGGCAAAATAGGGTCAGCTCTTAGAACTGTTGAAAGATTCAATGGGAATCTATAGTGAATGTGTTTAGTGCGGGATCAAACATGGTAGACATTTGATATATATTACCATAGTTGTTTTTAAGAGCTTTATGGAGATATAAGTGGTATAAAAACAAGCCACATGTTTTTCAAGTATACAATTTAAGTTTGGATGTCATGATAGAGAAATTCTTTTAATGGAGTAAATTTGGATATATGCAAATTCTACTTCATTATGTTTGTTTTTTACTAATGGATTATGATATTGAATTGCCCAATTGTCTCAGTTACATTTCTTCTCATTGCTGAGACAAAATACCCACCATGCAAAATACCCACCATGCAAAAGGAAGGAAAGGTCTATTTGGCTCACAGTTTGTGGAAGTTTCAGACCATGCTTGGCTGGCTCCAAGGCAGAGTGGCACATGGCAAAGGGGCAACATTTCATGAGGTGTGGAAGATATCAAAAGCAACAAGAGCAAAAAAGGAGAAATGAGAAAGCAAGCCCTTTTCCCTCCCTTATATGTGTGTAGAATACCTACCCCAAGTGTAATTCACACCCATAATCCCAGCATTGGACCATGAATTAATCACAAACTCTAGAAGCCCATCCCATCACTCCATGAGGTTCTGGGGGAACGTCCAGACACAAACCATAACATCAATGTCATATGCCTTAAAAAACATTGCTTCACATAGCTTGTCTTGATTTTTACCTTTTTATTCAAGGTGGTAAACCCAATCTTTCTTATTAACCATGGCCTAAAGTAGATGCTTGATTCTTTGTAATTATTTTTATGCCTACCATGTAATTATATAGACGCAGTTCACAAATCTGAACATGAGACACTAAGAAAGGATCAGCGAGCATGTCAAAAAGATCTTAACACATCAAGAAGTGTCTTCAGCTTCCACCATTTTTCCAGAAATTTAACCTATTTTTTTATCCAGACTAACCCAGACATCTCTACTCAGTGAGAGCATATTCAACTGCTTGTGTTTATATCTTTTGTTAAAATGAACCCCTCTCCCCAATTTCCTGAAAATGTATCGGTAACATTATCCACGCCTTCACTTTTTAATTTGAGGTAGTCATACTTTGATGAAGCAAGTCGCACAACTACTTTATCTGTTCAAAGTAAAATATAACATAAGTACATGTGTTAAAGTTTAACCAACAACTGGAATTAGAAAAAGTGTTTGGGGAAATTTATAATTAATATCCAATTTTGTTGAAATAGCTGTGTATCAAAGTCATACAACTACTATAGATAAGTTTTACCTATTTTGTGACACCCATAAATACATCAGAAAAACTAACTGGATTCCAATTTGGAGACATACATTAATCATGCAGAAATGGTTGGATGCAAGTGTTTGTAAAAATTTGTTTTAAGAAGTTTTAAGTTTCTAGACACTTAAAAATTTTATAATATATATTTCTGAAGATTTAATATATGTGTAGAATATTTTAAGTGGTTTATATAACTTATTATGTATCCTTTTAGATCACAGAAAGAACTTTATAAAATAGTTATCCTATTGTCCTAATTTCACAGGAGAGAACACAAACATGGAGAAGCAAGAATGCATCCCAGGTCAAGAAAAAGAGCTTGGTTTTGATTTCCAATATTTGTTCTCATCACACACCTTGTGTTGGATGAACAAAACCTGCGTATGAGATGAACAACAGCAAACTTCATTCATACCACCATATTATGCTGTATGTATAGGCAGCATTGTTAGAATTGTGAAATGATATTATCTCACAGAGCTCTGTTTTTCCCTCCACTTCTCCAGCTCTAGCACCTAAATCATTCTTCCCATTAATTGTCTCAGATGAGGATTTTATCAAGGGCAAAATTAGAAGAAAAAAGTACATTTATGGCCTATGCTGTGTAGAACAGAAAGCAGAGAAAGTCTTCTGGAATATCAGGAGAAAGTTATATCCTAGTTTCTTTGAAGAATAACTACAGTGTCTAGCACATTGGAGAAATTCTAGAGAAGGCCATAAAGAGAGGTCATAGCAAGGACAAGAGAAGATATTTTCAAAGTTCCCTTTATGAGCAGCAACAAATAAGACATTGTCAAAAGCAAACACCTGTGTGACCACGGGGTGAGATCCAACACACCTCAACCTCTGATTTCTCTTAAAGCAGCAATAGCTTCTCAAAAAAATAGGCAAAAAAATAGCCAATTTGACAGTTGAAAAGTTACAATAAACCTAAGCCTGTAATTGAAAGTAATTTGAACTGTGGAAGAACAAATAAAGAACAGTCCTGAACATTGTGTGCTGAGAGGTAACTCTTTATTGCATTACCATGAAGGATGTTATTCCCTATTACACTAATATGAAATGGGAATAATAATAATAATTAATAATAATAATAAAAGAGAATAAGAACAGGACTAAGAAAAGGTGAAATATTTGAAAGACAGGAGATAATTATAAAAGAAAAGAGGTCAGAGAAGGCAGAGTACCAGGCAGATACAAGAAAGCAATACACACAGTATCTTCTCTTGGTAACTAACTGCTGTAAGTCCTCCACGGTAGGTTCACTCCCCTAGGTGAACCACCCATGTTTTTTATTAATAGAAAATTGGCATTCACTAAGATACTAGCATGTTTTATTTGATATCCACTATACACTAGGCAACGTGCTACGGACTTTGCAAACATATTTCTATTTTCTTCTTAATCACACTAAAATCTACTAGGAAATAACTATCTTGTAAGTAGTGGAAACGAGAAAAATCAATATCTGGCATTTTAACTAAACTCTTTAAGTCACAGGGTAATATCTTATTTTATCTTCAATAATTTATCATCCTTTACAAGTTAGAATACAGTAGTTTATCATGCTACATACTAGAGTGATTTGGGTAACGATGGACAGGCATTTTTGTGAAGTAAAAAGAAGGACTGGAAAGATGTATTTTAAATATAAGTGAGGCAGGCTCAAGTAAGATTATACCAGCAGAAAAGGAATTTTAGAGCCTGGGGTGTAAAGTAATGTTTGAGGGAGAATTAAAAAGAATGAAAATGCTAGATGATTTGTGGTCACGAGTCAATCTTCCAAGAAATGAAAATGTCTTATGAAACATTTTAGATCTTTACAGTCAAATTTTTCTAGTGCTGTATATAATGTCACAATCAAATATGGCTATGTTGCTTTCTTGCTATTTCAAAATTTATGCTTCCTCTTAACACTTGAGGTAAATATATTTTGATCCCCAAATCTCTAACAATATTGCTTACTGGTATTCAGTCCTCATCCACTCTCTCACCTTTATGTGATCTTGAAACTGTGAGGCTTCTCATATCAAAAATAGATTATCCAAAGTGCATTTTAGAAAAAGAGTGAGAAAGGGAAGAAAGAGATGAAATTCTTGAGGAATTTGTTTTAGAGTTGCATTAAACAACAATGCAAAACTGCATAGAGTAGATCTTAACATGCCACATGAATTTCACTGTCAAGATTGAGTTTATATTTTGATCAAGTGATTAGATCCTGATCATTGTGTGATAGGGAGATTTTTCAAAAGTTCTAAGACCTAATTTCAGGTCAACAAAATGATAGCCTGACTGGAGTGAATGTGAGGGCATTCACAGATCTATGACCCAAGACTCTCCAACTACGGCACAAGCACTACATGACTGAGAAACAGGCAGTCGAGTGTACAAAGAAAGAAAAGAAGGAAAACTGTGCACCCAGTCTGTGGAAAAAATGTGAAGCTCCATTCTCTTGAATTGGTGTATTTTGCCTGTGGACATATCAGACTCTATCTTCTTCACCCTTAATGTGGATTCACACCAGCAAAACACCTGCTGATTGTTAAAATCCTGTCAGGCACAATGGGGACCAAAACATGAGGAAAGGACAGGAAATACTCCCGGGCAAAGTGGAATAATTTCCCAGTAGTTACATTTGACACTGATAAGTCATTAAGCTAAGGGTGACATCCTTTTTAAAATCACGAGGTGTCTTAATCACTTTCTTACTGCTGAGACAAAACACCCAACACTCACAATTTATTGAAAGATCTTTTTTTTTTGGTTTTTTTTTTTGGTTTTTCTCCGGTACCGGGAACCGAACTCACGACCTTGCGCTTGCCAGGCAGGCGCTTTTGCCGCTGAGCTAAATCCCCAGCCCCAACACTCACAATTTAAAAGAGAGATTTCTTTTAACTCCATTTCAGTCCATGGTTGGCAGGTTTGCATACAGAAACAGGAGGGTGGATAGGACTGGTATGAAGGAAATCTGCTCATTTCAAGGTGACCAGGAAACAAAGAGAAGGGAGGATCTGGGGACCAGAGTATGTCCTTCCAATGTATGCCCTCGGTGACCCATTCCTTCTGACCAGGACCCATCTCAAAACATGAGACCCAGTTCATAGCACAGATCAGTAGTTTTCAAATTTTAAACCACACATGTGTCAGCACTTTTCAATAACTACTATTTGGAATCAAAATAATTCCAAAGGACCACTGTGAGAGTTGGAGTTGGCATATGTAGAAACAAACTTTATGTAACAACAGGTCCCTCGTGTAGGGAAAAGGTGGGTTTATTTATTTAATTTGCTTCACATACTCATCATTCACATTCTGTTTCATTTGGAGAAAGGGTCTTGTTGACAATTCCTTAAATATCATTCAGCTACCTGATTTCTGTGTAAGTACCATGCACTAACAAATTGCAACAGTGGAGCTCCCAGCTACCTGACTTCTAAGTAAGATTTTAATTCTAATAGTTTTCTATCGTGTATTATGTATATAACATTTCTCATCTAGCTATGCATTTCTTTATCTATTTATCTACCTATTATCTATCATATATAATTAGTGCTATAAACAAAGTACAAAATGATTATGGTGAAAACATTGGAATATGGAAATTTCATTTGGACGATCAATAAATAGTTCATGGATAAGATAAGATTGAGCTACACCATGATGAGTATGTAAGACTTATGTAAAGATGATAAAAGAATTTCAGGTGAAACATTGAATGACATATTAGAAACAGCATCAGAAAGAAATATAAGAGCTCACTTCAGTTATTTCAAATAGTATTATAAGAAAAATTATTACAATATTAGAAAGAGAGCTTAAAATCAAATGATGCAAAATGTTGCTTCAAACACTGCTTTTGAAAAGTGACTCTCAAAGCAAAGCTCCCAATATACTAGAGTAAAAAAAGCAAGATGTGACAGATAAAATCACATTGAATGAAAGTACCAAATGATACAGTCTGAAAGAGTAGCAAGCCAAGTACAGAGACACAACAGCCTTCTGTGTGTCAGACCATGCAACAAAGCCAGTCCTTTTTATTACAAATATCATGAGGTTGGAAAAGCCCTATAGTGCTCTTGATAGGCTTATAATTTTTTACTCAATCTTTCCAGGGACTTATGAGTATATAAGTTCTTAGGATAAGATTAAATATATAACCCCTGAAAGGCACAAATAGTAGAGAGATCTTTTGAAAGATATTTTTTTATCAATTCTTCACTTCTCATAAGATGAAAAGAACTACTCACATTTCAGTCTTTTCTCAAGTCTCTGCACATCCACTATAAAAATATGATCATGTCACCATCACTTCTCCCGTGTACAATGCACCAAGTCCTCTGCGACTTGCTACAGTGACTTTCTAAATATCACTAACAATATTGCATGTGGCCCAGTAGGCAATAGAGACCTAGGACCAAATGCACAAACTAGCACCTCAAAAATGTAATTAATGGCTTTTTATTTTCTTTTTCCACCTTTGGTTTTCCTTATATTTGGAAACATATAAACTAAATATGATACATGCATATGAGTGTGTGCATGGTTGTGAGTGTGTGCACACATCTGTTGTGTTATCATGGAGAGAACATGGATTTAGCTAAGTTTTTTTTTTTAATGTATCAAGGAATTGATATTTCAGAAGCTTGGTATAAAGAAAAATGAGCCCTTTCACTTCCAGGTTAGCAGTTTGAATTCAGCTCAGCTCCGTATTAACTCTAAGTATGAAATATGTGTTGTTTAGGTTGGTTCCAGAATAAAAATAGAGTGACTGCCCTATTCAGAGGTGAAAGCCATCCATATTCTCCAAATCAGCAGCACATTATTTCTGACAAGTGAAGCTGAGTTCAATAGGGTGCAGTAAAGTGGCTTAATAAAGCATCTTATTCAAAATAGGTAAGTGCACACTAAATCTTTTGAAGACTGTGTTTATTCAAATGAGAATTAAATAAACATGTTCTATTTTATTCACACATCATTAGTAGAATGCGAGAGTCCATAGCTTACTAAGATTATAAATTGTACTTAAGGCCTTATTTAGGTTAAGACTGTACTGTCAAGTGAAAGTGTTCTTTGGGGATGGAGGAAAATACCCTAAAAACCAATGACTATTTTCTCATCTTAATTTGCTATGACTATATTTTATTATAGTATAATACCTTCACTCTAGATGGATGCTCCATAATATTTTTGTAATAATGGGTGGATGTATGGGTGGACGGATGGATGGATGGGTGGATGTATGGATGGATAGTCTGGTCTGTAAGGCAAATATGGAGGCAAAACTTATAATATATCCAGGTACTTTAGTACTGCTTGAGAACACATCAGCATGTGCTTGTATTTAAGTAGATGTGTCCATACTAAATACAACCTGGAAGAGGAAGCAGAAACAGAAGAGGACAGCATCATACACTGCGCCCGTCTCTGTGCTCTGAAATCATTGCACTCTCTCCTCTATTTTCTATATTTAATCTAGAAAAAGTAATTTTTCCCCTTTAAATTCAATACTGTTTTCCTTTTATTTTGTCACACATTCCAGCCCTTCATTCAAATGTCTAGTCCTGGGTCAGGAAGTACTGAATGTTTTCATGGGCAGCAGAGTAGTGTGACCACTTGACAAATGTTTACTGAAATAAATAATTGGATAACGTTTTCCATTGATTCATTCCAAAAATAATTAAGATTCTTAAATGTACTAAACACTGTTATGAATATTAGAGACAGAGCATAAATAAATTTCTGATTCATCAATGTGTTAGACAAATACTAAGTAAGATAAATAAGTAAAATCTTGGACACAGGCTGGAGGCATTTGTATTATAACACTTGGGGAGGAAGTCATTGCAATTTTAAATTTAAAAAATAAGTGTTTCACTGATAACAAGACAGTTCTTTCCAAGAAGGTAAGGAAACCAGCAATGTGGTAATGCATAGATAATTCCAGGAAGAATTAATGGCAGGGTCAAGGCCTTGCAAGGTTAACACAGCTGGGGCAAAATCAATGAAGAACATATAGAGTGTCTCAAAGTACAAACCTTACAAATCAGGAAAACTGGCTTGTACTTGGAGTGACATAGGAAACCATTAATATGTTCCAAGCAGAAAAAAATAGCATGATCTGACCTACATTTTTAGAGTACCTTGTTATTTTGAGAAGAGATTCAAGAAGAAATGGAACCATCACAAGAGCCACAAAACTGCTTAGATGTGTACTGTAATAATCTGAGGGGAGGTAGTCAGGGGTGTAGACCAGGTGCTTGTAATGGAGAGGGCAAAAGTTGTCAGAATCTGGGTATATTTGGAGGTATATTCTCCTGAGAATATTTTTGAATATACCAGTCAGTGTTCGGCAAGTTGTTTCAAAGAAAAAGATATGTACTGTAAAGTGTTACATGCTTACAAAAGCCTTTGAAAATCTGGAAGACAATGATCAGAGAAATCCCTTGCTATCTCTCAAAAAGTTGTTAATTCTTCTCAGACAGGACCAGAAAGAAACAACAGGTGATAGTCAAAGCTGTAGTAAGGTGATATGAAATATGCATCTCTCTCCTTGCTAGAAAGATGAATATGGTGTTTGCCCCCACCCTTTACCTCACAAAATGAATCCAAGCACAAATTACGCACAAAACCTAAGCTCCATTAGCAAAGCAACCTGGAAATGAAGGAGAAAGTGCAGAAAGGAGGGTAGAGAGCACGGAGTGGATCCAGTCAACTCATAGATTAGACATGAAGACTAGGAAAGTGGGAGACAGCTCTTAGGTTTTTGAAATGAGACAAATGAAATTTAATTTACTGAGTTGGAGTAGCAGATTCAGGGTTGACTACTGAAGTATTCAATTTAGGAAATGCTTATTTTCTAAAAATGGTTAGTAGGTATAAAAGCAGAGGTATGACACATGCTGTTGAATATGTATAGCTAATGAAATCAGGAAACAGGTCCAGGCTGGAGATAAACATTTGAGGGTCTGAGCAAATAGATTGCATCCTAAGTAATAAGACCTGATGAGAACCCTGAGGAAATGGATGATTGCAGAGAAAACCCAGCTGATATTTTATAAGACATCGAACTTAGATATATCAATAGTGGATGTGAAATAGTTGACCAGGCACATGGCAGAGAAAGTGCACAAGAAAAATAGAAGATATAAGATTAGTGATCATGAAGCCATGACAGAGTAGTGGTTGATGACTTATTTGGCTTCTTCAGGCTGAAAGGGGTTGTAGTTGTTTATCAGCTGTCAGAGATAGTCTACAGAGGGCCTATGTAAAGCCATTTGCATCTTGGGTAGTCATACAACTTTAAGATTGAAGGAGACAAAACCGAAGAAAGAATTAAGTATGTATGGGCCAAATAATAGGATCAACAGGATAATTATGAATGCAATCAACAGAGTTCCACCAAGAGGATCCAGTAATGGCTTTCCATAAAGAGCATAAGGGTAATGTGCAGGGAATTTCAGTCTGACATGTCATTGATCTGTCATTTAACATTTTAGACATCTACTGAGATATTAGCAGAAGGATCAGAAATGTGCATGCAACATTTAGTTATTACAATTGAACAAATATCCCTTGTGCTGTTGTTAGACTGTCTAATGCCATCCAATTTTGAAGAACACATTATCATATTAAATTTATTTCTTCATTTAGGAGAAAGACACCAGCTGTGGTGTCATTTAAGGCCCTCTGAGTATAGTTAGTTAAGGTCTCAACATGAGTCATATAACCCTCTCTCTGGACAAGATCTTGTGGATACTGATAAAAGGGATCTAAAATGAATGTAGCATATCTGTCGTTGGTTTTATCTGTATGATTACTTGGGGTTTGACATTTTCTAGGCAACAACATTTTATTGAGAAATTAGAGCATGTATACTCAAAGCATGAGCATTAGAGCTGACAGGTAAGTTTAGAAATTGTTCTTAAGGGACAGCAAGTGTAACCCACTGGCTCTTAGATACCTTTACTGATGGACTCTGATATTTTGTCATAATTCCCTCTAGCTTTATTTATAATTATCTCCAAATTTTTGATGATATATGAGAACCACATTATAAAAATTAACACATTATTTTCACGAATGAAAAATGATCTAAATTTTTGTATATGAACAACAATATGTATTATATTTATAAAAACCAGTCTCAGCATCATTTTAATTAGTTAGTAACCTGGATATATATCAGTATTTCGGCAGGATAAAATCTTTCCAGGATGGGAGCTGGGCTTTTAGGCATAACAAAAAGAATGGATAAAGAGAAATTTATCCCAGTTACAGCTTACCTGAGATATTTTTTCTAGTGACTTTATTGTATGATGCTTGGAAGGAAGGCTAGAGTTGGAGAAGGTCAAAGAAACCTGTTCCAATGTCCAGAGTAGGCCTGTGTTTTTTCCTCTATACTCATGATTACTCAGGGGCCCTCCGTGGAGATGAGAGGTGGAGATGAGAAGTATAGATGATAGTACAGCCAGAGGAAGGAGGCAGGGTGCCCAGAGACCCCTTAGTCTTGCTAGACCACCTGGGAAAATGAATCTGAGCTCTACACCCTCTGCCTCAGCATGCAGTCTTGCTTTCAGTGTCAGACTTTGTAGTCAGGGCATGGCTTGGGAGCCTCTTAAGACAATTCCTCTTAAGGTGGCCTGGCTTTCCACAGTAATAGCAGTTGAGCCTAGTTATTGCACTTTTTTTGGAGCCTGGGGAATCAGACATAGAGTCTGTTTTTAAGGCCACCAAAAAGGAAGCCACTTTTTGGTCTCTTTGTTTTCTTTCCTTGGCTAAGGAGGCAGTTTCCACTAAAATATCAAGTGAGCTATCTGGAGCAGAAGCTACCTTTTGTAACTTTTTTTCTAATATCTGGAGCTCACCGGGTAATAAAGATGTCTTTAACAAAATCTGTCTTACTACTGTATCATGAGATATGGACATATGTTTTACAAGTGCCTCTAGTAAGTGATCTAAGAAGACAGAAGGTTTTTAATTTTTCTCCTGATAAATAGCTGACAATTTAAAATACTCCAAGGCTTGGTTTTTGTCTTTCTTAGATCTTTAAGAATACATGCTTGAAAATGTCTTCTGTTCCAATCTCCCATCTACTAGGTCAGCAGAGATCTTGGGTAAGGACTGCTTGGGCTCCAGTGGTAATTGGTTGTTCCCCTGGCTGTTTTATCTTCAGATTGTTTAAAATTAAAGATATGATACTCATCCCCAAATGTGATAGCATCTTGTAATACTGCTTGTCTCTCATTAGAAGTCAATGTTTGATTTGAGATTAACATTATATGTTTCCAGCTTAGTTTATGGTTCTGAGTAAATCTTCTAAAGACATTAATGTACTTATCAGGATCATCTGAAAATTTTCCAAGATCTAGCTTGATCTACTTTAAGCACTTACAAAAAGAGACATATAAATGTGGGTAGTTGCATATGGATTAAAATGATACTTTGAGCGCAAATAAGAATTATTTCTTAATGTAAAGAAATTCTGAACATAAGGCAATTCTGACCATTTCTATTTTTATCAGTATGATTTTAGTTGTAAAAGAATATCATAATTAACATTTCCCTTTGCATTTCATTCTGGTTTTAGAGGGTAGTCAAGACATGTGTATGTACAGAGAAGTGTCAAATGGCTCTTTTTTAATATGAAGGGATCAAACATCTTCCAGTGCTTAAGAACACATTCTAAAGGAGTAAGAGACTTCTACTTTGAGCATCCCATGTCTTGATATACAAAAAGAAATAATTTGGGCAACCCCTTTGATTTCTATTTGACTTTAGTACCCTCAAGGCATCACTCCAGTAAATTCCACTCAAGGGCAGGTGGATGTCATCTGGAGAGAGCAGAAAATAAAATTTGACCAGCCTATTTACCCTCAAACTGGTGCAAAATTTTATC